AATGCGAGGTGGGCGGAGCCAGGAAACTGACGTAATTGGAGCACCTCCCTCCCCCTCCTGATTTCTATGGGCGGTGAACAAGGCGGGACGAAGTCAAGTGTACTGATGTCAGGCCCCGCCCTCCTGACGATCTTCGACAGTTCCTTTAAGGACACATTCCGTAATTACCTGACAGATAGAGTTCCTCTCCATAAGGGAAAGTATAAAATGAAGTAAAGGTGAGCCCATTACCATGAACTATGTTCCACGTTTGCCCTTCAAAAGTGTGTGGTAAGGAAGCCAAGGGCTTGTGGTCATATGATTTTCCCGCCCATACCAGACATCGACGCCTATAAGAGCGCGATTATAGTACGGCTCTTGAGCTCAGTTCTTCGCGCCTTTGTGATGTGTGCGGCTGTGTGCTCCCTCTCAGCTGGGTTGTCTGGTCTCTCTTCTGCGCGCCCAATGTTTCACCATCATTCACATTTCTTTGTATAAAGCTTCCATTCAACTCAGAAAAGAAATTTTTTGGGCGACTATTCGACGCAATCTTCCGCTTTTCCACTTTCCACGATTTATTATCGCTTACAAAGTCACATTTGAATCGTACCACCCCTGACTTGTGAAAGAGGTGTGAATCTTTCGAAGGCAAACTCCAGGTTCGAAAACGAGAGGCAAACCCCGGGTTGGAAAACGAGAAGTTGTGCGACTAAAACACTGATGACATGGTAAGTAACAGAAAAAAGAAAAAACAGTACTAACCCGTCCGAAATGCCCCATTAAAACCCCATGCTGAGCGGCGGTTATATATGCATAAGGCGAAGACAAACTGTGCTCGGACGATTTTTCTCTTCCTGGTGCCAGCTCATTCCCACATATTCTACCTCCATCTCACTCTCACTATTAGGAATGGGGAGAGCTAGTGGCGGAACAACCGCACCACCGGTTACCTCTAGCAGTGAAAGTTGGGCGTTGCCGTGGCCAGTGGGCGGAGCCGAGGATTCGTCGCGAGTGGGTCGCGACGAATCCTTGGCTCAGCCCACTTTTCGGCCCTTCTCGGCCCTCTTCCTCACGTATTTTTTAGCAGTGAAAGTAGCGAATCCTCCATACTTGCGGACAAGACTATCATTTTCTAAGAAGGGTGCTGAACATAAAATGAACGCGGGGCGCGTGAAGGTAAAGGATCTTTAAAAGGGAAGATATGAACAATTTCGGTAATACAATTTCGGTAATTTCGGTTGTTTACGAAATGATTGCTTGCAGGTTGTTTCAAATAGCCCAGAACTGCGCTAAGTACATGCTTGCTTCATAGCTTTTCAATCAGGTAATTCTACCCATCATGACAATTTTTCTTGTTTTCAGGTACCCATGAGTTAGAAATCGATATGGTATCACTAATTGGAGAATGTGATGGCTTTTGGTCATTGGTTTAAATGTTGTGGGCGATAAACGATACCGGCAATATAATTACTGCTTTTTTCGGTGATTGCTGGTACGCTAGATTCCCTTCTTGTGTTCGGCCCTTTGGTATTACCCAGACGGCGCCAAATCCAGAGGAATATAACTCCGCCTGCGCTTAACCCTCACCTTCTTTAGGCTGTGTAAACACCCATCACGATGCTCGTTACCCATTAGCAGAGCATTTCCTAGCTAGTTGACTCAAAGTCCACAGAGCTGCCACGTCGAGTAGGTTAGGTCCTAGTGCGAAGGTTGCGCAAATCGCTGGCGCCGCCCACTTCGTCGGGCTCGGCGAGGCAAGGAAGTACGCTACGCCATTCTTTTTTGAGGACTTATCTCATTTCCAGCTTTTAGATATTGCAAGTTATTGATGTCCACTCAAAAACCACATGGTTGCAGTTCTCATGGTGGTATGAGGGGGTACGCTTTTGTTTTTAGTTTTCTCATTGAGCTAGTAATCTATATTACTCTTTATATTCCATCACATCACCACCAATTTTCCAGTTTCTGGTTTTTGCTTCCAGGCTTCACCAGAACAATCGGCATATGGCCATGGTCATTTACTAGCCACTATGGTCATCTTCCTGCCGTCACTGATACCATTAGCGTACTTTCTGCGTAAGGCAGTAAAGTTGAAAAAATACGAGGTACTGTCTTAACTAGATTCTTCTTAGAGACGTGAGTCTTGATAATCAGAAGAACAGAAAATAGGGCGACTTTGCGGCAACGTCAACCAGGGTCTATCACCGTCCAGTACTGTTCCGAGCGTCCGGCAGTGTCAGCGACTAGGAGAGTATAGATATCGATCTAGCGTCCACCAACGTCCACCAGCGACCGAGAGTAGAGAGTATGGGGAAGTAGGAGGGTAGCAAACAGCTGGATTAGGCGTCGTGAAATTGCGGCGTGTGCAACCGCACCGTACAACTACACTACACCGTACATTAAATTGCATAATTCTGTGCTTTAGCAGTTGTGCGGTGCGGTTGCACACGCCGCAATTTCACGACGCCTAATCCAGCTGTTTGCTACCCTCCTTTTTCCCGTTACTCTCTACTCCTGGTCGCTGGTGAACGCTGGTAGAAGATGACAGACGCTAGATCGATATCTACACTTTCCTAGTAGTCGCTAACACTGCCGGACACTCGTGACACTAGTGGACGCTGGTGGACGCGCCGTGAAGTATGAACGTAGTCTAACGTCACTGGTACGCCCTCTTCTGTAACGGCGAGAACAGGGACACAGGAAGAGAATACAAAATGGTTATGAGCCGCTGGCCATCTTATGATCGAGGGAATTATTCAGAAGTGAGTAGCTAGCCATTCTTATGGTCGAGGAGGGTGCCATTAAGTCAACAGAGGATGTTAATGAATGATTAATTATTCAGAAGTTTTCGAAGCTCTTCAAGGTTGCTCCAGAACACCCAGCCTTCCTTCGTATCAACGCTAAGACTATCCTTGAACCTGGTAAGCCTGAAATGCCACCCGACATTCTATTTCCAGATATTCCATGTCACATTATAGGAGAAGATGTGCCGACATACCAGGTGGATGGGCAGAGGAAGCTATTCTGCTGACCCTTCTTAGAATCACAAGAACTGAAGCGATACATCCTTGAAAATGACAACAAAACAATGCTCACCCTTACAATTAAAGGTTAAGCCAGAATTGTGAATGTGAATGCATTCTTACTTGCCGACCTGTTCGCAGCGAAACTGGAGCATGGAAGCGAGAGGGGAGGGGGGGGGGGGGGGGGTGCGGAATCATTTTGACGCGCTACAAGTCCGCTCTCCACCAATTGTCGTCGCATGACCGCTTCAACAGTTGGTGGAGAACCGTCTGGCGCCGCGCCAAACCCAGCTCTACTAATGTACCCCAGCAATCCGCAGCGAACAAGCGAACAGCGGTAGCAAACGTCTAAAATGGAGTCACCCCGTATTTACTATTCATTTACTCTAGAAGCTCTTTATTCCCGTTATCTAGGCCAGCTACCAGCTTCATGACCGAAGACAACAACTTGAACTATCCAAGTATCTATCTGCAGAATAGACCAGTCCGACGGACCGGTGTTCCGCAGAATGGGCACTTCGCTCATGATGAGCACCCCAAAATCCCTCGCATAGGGTGAGATTATGCAAGGAGCATCCAAAGTAGAGCGCAGTTCGGCTGACTAGGGACACTCAGCGAATCTTGTACGGTCCACTTTGTGGAAGCCTATAGATCCCAAGGATCAAAGTGGGTCAATGTTTTACCAAAGTGAGACCATAGTTGACATAAAATAGGAAAGCTGCCCCTCCCCCTTCCCGATTATCTTTTCTCCTTAGACGGAGGTGGTGTAGTGTAGACAAGTGGCACGCACAGCACTTGAAGGCTCGGTTCCTGCTCAGGCTGACCAAGCCTTCTACCCTCCGGAATGGTAAATTCGTACCTGTCTTGCCTGGGATAAAAACACTGACTTGTACATCGGCTGGCCCCCGCAAGTCATTGTATAGGCCACATCGCATTCAATAAGCCACTACGATTCTGAATGGAAGTAGAATGCGTGCCGCATCCCACAAAGGGATTGATCAACGGCGAAGACTTTCCAACCATTGAGAATGATGAACAGATGTTGAAAAATGTGGTGATGTAGAAGGTGCTGAAACCAGGGGTAGACTTGATGGAAGTCAGGCCCGGAATGCGATATCACTGGCGCCAGCGAGTCAATAGTGGAATGTAAAAACCAGGACTGCTGTTATGTGATAGCAGTATCTGACAAGAATGAGTTCGAACTACAAAGTAATCCCATAGACTTCCTTCTCTCCTCTCGTGAAGTTTTGCAGTTGAAAATTCATATGACTGATACGATGAGTATGACCTTACGGTGTTCTCTCACAGTGCTTCTCAAAAATTACTCCAGATAAAGAGCATCTAGGAGCGCGAGAAGACACACAAGCCATCTAATACAATCCGCGAATATAGTAGCTAGAGCTGGAGCCAAACCCATAGAATGCTGTAGAAACGGATCACACCTTGCGAATGATTTTCATTCCCACAGTGCTGAAAAAGAAGTCGTCGCCGCAGAAGCTGAGCATTGGGGGGAGGGTAGTGAGGCTGTAATTAGCGCCGTCGCATTTCCACTAATTGTTGTAGCTCACCTTCAGCATTTGGTTGGCTCAAAACAGGCTGACGCTGAGCCAAACCCACCTCTTTTGACATGCCCTAGCGTCTGCAGCAAAAACGACTGTGTACACTCCTTATCACTGAGGCGGAGTGGGCGTGGCATTTGGAAATGGCATCTAACGGATTACTTACGGGGAACTTCATCTCAATCTGGCAATCTGAGACAACTCATTTGATTGCTGAATTGGGCAATAACAAGGACCGCAATAGTGTAGAAATGAAAAATCCCTCCAAAAGCAGAGTCACCGCCACGTTTACTTGAAGTACGCAGCCACGCCTACCACATTTCAAAGATTTCAAGTGTAAGAGACGGGAAGGTTGTAGAGTCAACTGCACAAAGGACGAAAACAAGGCAAAAGGAAGGGATGCTGATGGGCCAAGCCCAAGAGATTCAAATGCCACTTCATTCTTAACAGAAGTAAAATGCACGGGCGCATCAAAAGGGTTGATAAATTTTCTCGTTATCCGCCGAGCATAAAGAGTCCCGAACTACATACCCCCCCCCCCCCCCCCCCCCCCCCCCCCCCCCCCCCCCCCCCCCCCCCCCCCCCCCCCCCCCCCCCCCCGTACATCCGCCTTGGCCGTACAAAACCTCCGGCAAAATTCAGTAGATCCAGCATGTTCAGTGGAATTACTCCCCAATAATCCAGCTCAGCTTTCCCTTTCAAACAGTAAGAGTTCTATAAGATTAGCCGACAAAGGCTATATCCTAGATTCATGGCCCTTCTTTTGAGTTCTTCAGCGCCCCCAACTATTGATTTCGTAGAAACGGCTGTGTTATCCTCAACATAGTCGTTCTGTGCTGTCATCATATGTTTTTAATCAGAAAAATCCAACATCGCAGACCTCACATCAATCGCCGGTCTCGCACTCGATCTATGGCCTGATCATCTCCCCTCAAACCAAATACTCATAGCTTCTCTAGAAACCCATCTCTCCAAAAAGTCCAAGATTTGGTGATGAATCTTCTTAGTGTCTTGAAAAGAGTAATCCTCCAGTTAACCTCTGGGATTCGCCAAGATAGGGATACATCCTTTGAAGACCCTTGATTAGCAGGCCAAAAAGACGCATTCATACATCAGTTATTTACCTACTACTGGAAGAATTGACGATTATGGGCTAACAGGGTTGTCAGTATGACCCCCTCTTGAAAGAGTCTCGGGTACGGACGCCCCTTCCACCCAACTCCTTCCCCAACAACCTACCTATCACTTTCCTACAAGTTCCCAAGCTTCCTACCAGTTTTTCCGGGAATTTTCCCACATTCTCCAGTTTTTCACCCAAAAATTTTCCGTCGAGCAGGGATGAATAGCCAGATGTAAAAGGGGAGGAGAGTTTTCTTAGATTTCACCCAACTTCCTACTCCTACTCTTTCCAAAATTTTCAAGTTGTTCCTCAAAATTTTGCTGTCGAGCGGAGGACGGTTGAGGGGGTTTATGATACACATAAGGAAAAACAGCGAAAAGTCAACACTCTCAAAGGCACATACGACCCCCCGCCCCCCTCTCCCACAACGACCAGATACGGCCGCCTCCCCACAGCCAATACACCCCTTCCCCAATGTGTTTTCCACAAACGATGCGTAACCCTGTGGGCAGTGATCATTTTCCCACTAATTAGTCACCAGTGGCGATAGAGAAACTCAGCACCAGATCTATTTCCCCTCCCCTCTTCATCTACTACCACTCGTGACGCCACGCTCACCATGACGCCTGGTCATAGAGCTTATAAAGGCGCTCACTTAGTTCCCAGGAGCCTTTTCTCTCCTCTGACTACCTATTTGTCATATGGGTGTTCGCACTGTCGAAGAAGATTTCAGTTACCACATAAAGAACTTTCGATCCACGATTTCGCTTGTGTTTTTTTTCTTATTTCGAAATTATGGACGGAAGGTTGAATAACTGGTATCCACTCACCTTCTAGAATCAAGAAGCGTAGTAATGGTTGCATCAGCACGAACGAAACCCGGGTCTCAATTTGAACCGGTTATTGCTACGTGTGCACCGTGGTCCCACTAACCCTACAGGAGAGAAGTGATTTCATACACGATTTCCTCCTCATCTGCGATCCAAAGGACTCCGAAACTTTGTCGCAAGTTGCGCTTTTTATTGACGGAACCCTCCCAACATGCTTGATCGTCCTCTTCCCTGACGACTCGTATCGTACCTTTCTTGGGAATTCTTCAACTATGGTGGGCGCTGCTTCCGGAATTGCGGCGGAAAGAACGAAAACTGTTTAAAAAAGGGGAAAACCAGAAGTGAGTTGAGGTGTTGGTGACGTGCCTAGTGCATGGTCCAACATGTCTCTGCCTGTTCTTTATCTTTGTATTGCCATTTCTACTGAAGTCTTAGAATCTGTGTACGCTTTTCTACATGGTGAGGGGGCCCCGGCAGCTAGGCATGACTAACTGTAGACGTCCGTTGCGTAGAACCTCCAACCAGTACACATCATCGCCTTCTGGAGAATTTTGCTGAGAATGCCTTGTCCCCCCATTTTCTCAGATGGGACCCCTTTCACACTCTACCTACTCTCGTACAAACTCGTCTTAAGCATTTGCCGAGGAGAGGATATACAACAGTTTTGCCGTCCAGCAACAAGGGAATTGTTCTAGCGTGCTAGAAGGAAGTATCTTGCGAATTAGGTACCATCCCCCTCCTCTTAATGTGAAATTACAGTTCTGTCACACCGGAATGGATGGCGGTTATTTACCGACAAATACGGACCAGCTACATATCTCGCGCCCCCTGTGGGCGAGCGCCTCAGGTACGTACACAAAACTTCAATATGACGGCCACATCCATCTCCTTTCTCACTGTGAAGCGGCAAGGATTCCGTCTTTGACACCTGACTCAACTTATTGCTAGAACCTTGAGTCAGTCTTGTTCAATTACCTGAAACTTAAGCTCTAGCTGTAGTCATGCAAAAGAATTGGTCACAGGCATGGACCTAGATCCTCCCGCACATCACCTTTACTTGGCGAACGCGCTCTCGTTGTGCCACAACAGCCGTATCCTGGATGCCGTTTTTCAATGATAGTTCCAAACTACCACCGATCGTGTCGTCACCATTTTTTGCTGAACATCGTGACTAAGGCTGTCATTGCGACGAGCTGCATCGTGGTTTTAATCGCATACATAATGAAATCGTTGGCCACACCTCCGACGAAACGAATCCATTCAATTGCTTCGAAGGTTCTGAATCGATCTGTTGGCTGACAGATATGTTACGTAACCGTCACATCAATTGTACAGACGTCATCTGATGAAAATCCGCTATGTGCTGATCATCCCGGCTCATTCGGTGACTTTTTTGTTCATATGTTTTTCACGTCGTCAAATTTCGTACGCCTATTGAATTGTATTTAACGTCACGTGTAATGTTCGTCAACAATTCGTACTTTACAGACTGTTTATCA